GTATTTAATGTGATTACTACTGAAAACTCCAGATGGAGATAAAACCTAGAAGGCAATACTCGCCAGTTTTTCCCCTCTGTTTTAAGTAGAGGACAAGTGAACAAGATTTTTAAAGTACTTTTAATGTGCATGAGCAACGAATAAATCATTGTGAATTAGTTTTGAATCACCCTCCTGTGTCCAAGTCCTTAATCGGTTAGTGTTTCTTTTGTAAGGGTGACAGTTCCCTTTTGAGCCCATAAAATATTTTAAGTTGTAACAATTTGATGGTCCTACGTTTTCCTTTTCATTTCAGAAACTGGTGTCGTTGTAATCAGGGTCCTAATTCTCAGGACAACTTTGCAGGACAGCGAGGTAGTTTAAAATCACCTTTCATGTTGAAAAAGCCTGAAGCTGATAATCCAGTGATATTTAAAATCTCCATAAAACCCTTTTTAAATTTTGATTTTAAGTTTTTTATTCAAACCATTTGCCATAAACATTTTACTTTTATTTTCTATTAAAAGCAGTAAGAGAATATTGAAGGAATAATGTCCAGCACTCTACCAGACTGAAATAAATGAGAAATAAACAGGAATCTATTCTTTCTATTTCTTTTAACTGCTAGGAGCATACTTAGGAGGTGTCAGGTACTTGGCATCTCTGGTTATGTGTATACTCCCCTGCCCCATGAAATTTCTCTGTACATTTATACCTTTTCAGGTTTACTAAACGTGTGATAGACCGAGGTCATCTCACTTGCCTGTAATGCAGCAGGCACATATTTGTACTGTTTCATAGGTGATCTCTTTTTTTTTTTTTTTGTCTTTTTCGTGACTGGTAAGGGGATCGCAACTCTTGGCGTGGTGTCGCCCACACCGTGCTCAGCCAGTGAGTGCACCGGCCACTCCTATATAGGATCCAAACCCGTGGCGGGAGCGTCGCTGCGCCCCCAGCTCTGCACTCTCCCGAGTGCGCTATGGGGTCGGCCCCATAGGTGATCTCTTTGTCACGGTTTCACCACAGATCAATTGCTAATATTTTGAAGGCAGGCATGCTTAGGTCACTCGAACTCAGCAAACAGACCTGCGTGAGCAGGAGGAGGCGAGGCGTCCGTTGAGTTGCCGCGAGTCACAACATCCAAAAAGAATTCTGCACGATTCGCAAGTAAAAAAAAATCTTCAGGGTCTTCCTGTATCCCTTCAAGTTGACAATGCTGTACTGGGCATGAAGTTTGTAAATGGCATGTTATATAGTACTTGATATTTAAAACGTTCAAAGTCATTACCTGCAAAGAGGGAGAGAAGCAAAGTACAGGAGGGTACTTCGGAAAGTTAGTGGAAAAATAGAATTAAAAGATAATATAAATTTTTCCACAAGCTGTTTGAAGATCCTTTAAATATTACAAGTAAAAACAAGTGTTCTTGTTGACTACTTTAGTAAAAAAACAGTTTAATGGATAGTTTTATATTTCACTGGACAAGATTTTTTTAAAATGGTGCTAATATTTGTACAGCCTAATTTTATAGTTGGTTTGGTATCAAACTGCTAATGCCTGGCCCAAATAAGGTCCTTCGTCTCGTGATTAGTTAAATTGTATAAAAAGAAAGTGATCCTAAAAATAATATGAGCTAGTCATTTCAAAATCTTTGCACTTGAGATGGAGTTTTGTACAACGGGACCATCACGGAGCTCTTCTGTGCAGGTGTGTGCTCGGGACCAAACCCTATGCAAGGAGCTGTTCCAGGTGTCTGGCCCAAATTTGCCCCCTTCAAGCCTGCTGGTGTAAGGTGGAAAAACACTGCTTGCTGTTTCAGTACTTCAAGTTTGAAATTCCGGACACCTGAATGAAGGCATTAGAGGCCTCTCTGTGAATTTCTTTATAACAAAACTGTATTTGGGGAAAGTTTCCCTGTGTTATGATGTTTGTTTTGAGCACTGCATTCACTTTGAAATTCTGAAAGAACAAAGGCTGGCACATCACAGCTCAGGCAATGGGAATTTGGGGTTGCATTTGCTAAGAAATATGTGTTGTTTTAAGTTTACAGTTAATACCGCATTTACTTGTAAAAATGTGAATAAAATAACTTGACATCACAGGCTCAGACTTCTAATTGTGAGTAGTTGTGATTAGTACATAAGAGGCTTGAAGAGAGTGTATGATCACGTTGACTCCTAAATGGATTTTTCATTCGAGAAACATTCAACACGATACATTAGACGTATACAAGAAAAGGTAAGTTCTGTCTGCTGCCTGTGCTTGGAGTTGGACTCTAATTTTCCCCACTCTTTTCCCTCGCACCTTCTTACTGTTTTGTGTGTGGTTACAAGTCAGAAAGAAGTACAGAGTGAAAAGCGAAAAAAGTACAGAGTAAAACCACTCATCCAAATGCCGTTCACTTCTCTGAGAAGCCAGTGCTGATTTGTGCGTGAACTTCAGAACTTTTTTCTAAGCTTATCTTTGGAGGTACTTGTACACTTTTTTTTTTTTTTTGCACAAATATGGGATAATGCTGTACACATGCTGTCATTTTTTCTGCTCCCTGTCTTGGGGAAGGTTCTGGTTCCAGGTAAGGTGGACTAAACACACATGCCCTTTTGTTCTCAACAAACACAGCTATAAAGCCTGGACGGAATGTATTTGCTCCGCCATTTGAGGGCTCTGAAAAGTAAATAGCAACACAGGTTGGCAGCACCGGATTTCTAAGTGCCACTGAAGTGAGGTGACCATTTCTTCTTCCTCTCGCATCCCCAGCCTGAGCACACAGACCAAACACAGAACTGAGCATGGGGTGCAGAAGTCAGGTCTGCCTCGAGGGGTAGGAAAGGGCCAGCCAGTGCTCAGAAAGAGGGGAGGTGCCATTTCTCTTCTTTTCTCCATTTTTCACACTGAACTCCTGGGTGGCCAGGGGGCACCTGCAGGAGCCACAGATCTGAGGCAGAACCTCACAAGCCTCCCTTTGGTGGAGCTGCAGCACCAAGAGGGTGGGCTGAGGTGCTCTTTCTCTCTCTGAAGGACATGGCTCAATTAGAAGTGGTAGTTTCAGGCTGGAGGACCTAAAAGAAAGGGGGGGGGGAACCCCAGGGAACCAGAAAGTACTGGGGGAGAGCTTAGGAAGTGACTACAAAGTTATTTTTGAACTCCTGGGCTCACCCTAGACTTGCTCACCCCGATCACACTGTGCATGTGTGGAGCTGATTCTAACGATTATACCAAAGACAGCTGAGAACTGAGCTCACAGGTGACCTCTGTTCAGGTGTCAGACTGACCACAGGATGATGCACATGTGGGACACAGCCAAGTAGTGCTGCAAAGGCTTTAACCTGGAGTGACGCTGGGACTGACACCCACGGAAGGCAGGCTGGAGCTTGTGGCCTGAACCCAGCCAGCTCAACTACCTGCTGAAACAAAAGTTTCAACACTCTCCAGAGGTTCGAAGCAAGAGCCTGCAT